ACATACACACGCACACACACACACACACACACACACACACACACATATATATATATATATATATATATATATATAATATTAAATAGCAGTTGATACACAATAATGATGTATTTTCTTAGCTCTAACAATTTTCCAACGAGACAAAAATGAGAACAAAGGGCAAAAAAAATTTTAATACATAAAAAAAATGTTACCATTGTTGAGCAAAGGAAAACCCCATGAAAAATGTGCTCCTAGAGTTGTGACATATTAGAAAGAATGGAAAAGAACGAAAGGATCTGGTAACTAAAAGTCAAGAGTAAAGTTAGAATATAATGATATTAGGACTTCATTGAAATAAAAATTAAAAATTGATATAAAAAAAATAATAGGACTTAATGGATATTTATAGAGAAAAATAATACTTATTGTTAATTTTTCCAAACAATAGTTTGTTGGAGAAATAAACCCTTTTGATAAATTCTAGGACATTTTTTTTTGTCAGAATAAATTAATAAATCTAAATGGAATGAATGAATTGAAACTCAATTAAAAATTTAAGTATCTAATTGTATCAATTAAAATTTTAAGGGCCAAATAAAAATTATTTATATATTTTAAGGGTATAAATGAAAATTGGTGAACACATCCACTAGCACAATTTTGCCAATAACATAAACCATGCACCTTTTCAGCTTTCAATAACACATATGATGTACTTTTAAGTCATACAGTTCAAACTAAACTTGCCTCCTTTTTTAATTACCATTTTGTCCATTTGTCTTTCACGCGATAACCACTAAATATAGTTTTACCATATTAGTGTCTTTTGTTTTGCTTCAATTTTGACTTTCAATCTCAAGGTCATCTTCTTGGCAGTTCATTATAACTTCTGAAGATTTAGTTAGCATAGCAGTGCATTTTATTCTTCTTTAGTATTGAATTTCAATCTCAATTCTTCTTTTTCTTGGTGGTAATTTCTTGATTCAAAATTTAGTTAACTTAAATTTCGTATTCTTCTTATTGGCGGCAGATATGAGAACAACTTCGTTCTTGCACTTGCTATTGCAAACTTTGCAATCCATATTTCATACTAGATTAAGTAATACTATCTTTGCACCATTTTATTGATTTTTTGATTTATTTTCTTCTTCTGATTTTGATATTTGAATCATATGTTTATGATCTTTAGATTATTCGATTTTGTTTGTTTCACCTAATATGAATAAGATTTGAAAGTATTCACTAATTTATGTTATTGTATATAATATAAAATTGTTAACCAACTTTACAGTACTCAAAGTAATGATATTTATTATGGTTGATTCGTACCATTCAATACATGACATTCAAATGTTTGTTTTATATTTTTATCTTTTTTATTATCTGTATTCACATATTCCTTTTATCCTTTAATGTTAATTCAATCTGATGTTCATATGTTGTAGTTTACCCTTTTTTGTAGTGTTTCCTTGCTTTATTTTACTGTTTCCTTAATGTCTTGTTTTTAGTTATTTGTTTTCATTCCATTGTTGATATCCATTTAGTGCCGGTATGTTTTTATCTGTGTAAAGGTTTTATCTATTTTAATGTCAGATGTCAAGCAATGATGTTGTGTTGCTATTATGCAAATATCAATCACAAACTGCTATCATAAAAGTATGTGATAATACCAATTTAAATGATCTGCTTCATCATGTTTGCTCGAAATTTAATTTACATGATAAGTATTTGCTTATTGCTGGGTGGAGTAATTGTACGAGGAAAATAGGTCAAAAGTTTGAAGATGCTGTTTTAGAATTCAATAATGTTATATTGACCAAATTTTGGGACAAAATTAAGAGTTCAAATGATATGACAGCTGATTGAGATTTCTTTATTTGGTGCCATGTTATTTGGGCCCTAATAAATACTCCAAATAATATATTGTCATGTCATTTGAACTCTTAATTTGGTCTCAAAAATTTGGTCAATGTATCATTACTGTTTAGAATTTTGTCTTGCATTGTGTAAATATAACATTAAATGTGGTTACCAGTTTAATTACCTTAGGAAGGAAAAATTCAGGGTTACTGTTAAGTGTGCATCAAGGGAAACGATTAGTTGTCAGTGGTACGTACAATGGAGCTCTTCAACGGGCAAATGGATTCTTTTAAGCCCCCGTGCTATAACTAAATAAGGGTAATATTATATTAATATTTCTCCTACGATAAATAAAATCATGGTATAAATTTTGAATCATTGTCGAATCAGGGTCACACTTAGTTTCGAAGGTGTTTAATCTTGAGAAGGGTGGTTAGGTAAGTTTCTCAATGTTTTTAAGTCAAAATAATACCACTATTGAATCCAAAAGATCAAGAAACCTTGGGATAATTGATATGAGGTGTATTTGAAAATTTAAAGTAATCTAGATTTAAAATGCATTTTGGGGAGAATTTAGGTAAAAAATAATTTGACACTACCTCGGTCATTTGCTCACAAATTTTTACTCCAAACTCTGATTGCTCTAAATTTTGGAAAATAGAAACTAGATTTCAAGGGTTATAAAAGTGTATTTGATGAAAATTTTGTGAATCGTCCTCTAACTAGGCCAAAACTATCTTGTATGTTTAGGAAGAAATTAGATCCCGTTCGAACGCAAATGGATCCGTTCGAATGCCCTCTCTAATGAATTTTTCAGTAGAAAATAGGAGATACTGGGAGCAAATCCCATTTGAACGCCACATACTCTATATCGTTCATATGCCAGTTGCTTCGTTCGAACACGCATGTGCGATTGTACACGAATCAAGCCACGCCGTCGGAACAATTATTCACATATAAAACCTAGAGATGTGTTTTAGGTCATTTTAAGCTATTTTCAACCATAGGAGGACAAGTAGAGTTAGGAGAATGAAAAACGAGCATGAACGCTTCTTTTTACAATCTCTTGCATGTTTTGATTGGTTTATTCTTGTGCTTTGAAAATTATGGAGCTATGGATTATAGTATATGTAGATTTTGTGAAAAAGTGTTGTTAATATCTCTTTTATGAGTTAGTGTGATGAATGTGGATTACATTCGAATTTGTATTGTAGAGTGTTAGAGGTTTTCCTGCCTTGAGAGATTTGGTAGTTGCCTAACACTCGTATGGGGTTTGGTTTCTTGCGAGGGTCAACCACTATTTATTCACGTAGGTTCAAGGCTGAGAGCTTCTATACTATTCATAGGAAAGATTCGTCAATACTAAATGAGTTGGTAAACGCCTTTCCTAAAGAGTTTGTGGCCCTGCAAGGATTGATTAGATGGTTTTTGTTTGTGTTTGTGGTGGGCGGACTAGATATGTTCGGTGTATTGATTCATGGTAGCCAACTTATATGCATGAGATACTGTGTTTTGAGTTTTGGTTTGTGAATGATTCTATTCTATTAAGAATTTACTATTTTGTACCATAAACTTTAGATCATTATTGAATGTTATTGTTTTACTTCAAATTTTATACATTTATTTGCCAAAATGAGACTTACATGTTTTACGATTTTGAAACCTTTTTTGGGTTTGAGAAGGTTTTCTTACTAGGCTTTATCGCTCACCCTAATATAACATTTTTTAGAATTTGCCTTGAGGAAGACATAAACTCAGGTGAGCATATGGATTTAGATTCGGAAGTAGATCAACGGGTGGATTCGGCTTAAAGTATTATTTCTTAGTTTGATAGTTTAGAGTCTAGTTGTTTTGGGAAAACTTTATTAATGGTTTTTCATTAGACAGTCGAGTGTGTGTAATTAACGAGATAATTAATAGAGCAATCAATGACAAAAAAGATAAATATCGAGTCAACAAACAGATTTATAGTGTTTTCGGTCCGAGTGACCTACTCCACTCCAGAAAATGACAACAGTGGACAGAGAATCTTTATTAATGAATAAAGTAAGAGAGAGAAAGCTCCGAGAGAGGTACAATAGCTAGGAGAGAGAAAAGCTATGTGAGGGTGTGTAGAGAGGTGTAGAGATATGTGAAGAGGTGCCCATCCCATTTAGAGAAAGCTTACAATTTATAGGCGTGGAGCCTTGACTGAGGTGGTGACGTGCAAATAAAGTCACTAGTCCTTCGGGGAGGACATCTACAATAGGTATGTATAATTAAAATTGTTTAGATCTTCGAGAGTAGGTATCCCAATGATATCTCTCCCACGTGCTCTTATCTTCATAGGTTCCTTGAATCTTGGATTGGGTCAAATTGATGAACCGAGCTCAGCCTGCCTTTCTAGTGGATTTGGGATTGCTTGAGTTATTAGGTCTAGCCCAATTAGATCTGGGCTCGTCATTTACCCCCATGTCACAAGCTCTAGTGGTGAAGGGGTTGGAGGCATGAGCGAGTCTCTTACTTTTGGGTGGCTTGCTCCCCACGATAGCCTCTTCCTTTGAAAAAAGTTTCTTGTTCTACACTGTGGTAGTTTCTTCAACCTCCAATTCCATTTGCACCATGAGAGCTTGTTCTTTTGGTTTGATAATCACTGTGGTTGGAAAGTCATCGTGCCGACAGTGATACTCCAACAACTTGGTGAAACTGATAGCAAGGTCTTCTATTTTATGCAGTTATTTTCCTTTTAGCTTTAAAAGACATTTCCTATCAAACCCCTCATATCCCTATTCAGAACTAGGGCTTAGTTTCCCCTTTCTCACATCGCAAATCATTGGAAAATTTGAAGGAGATAAGCATGGAGACATTAGAGAAAAGGAAAAAGGGTGCCCCCAACGATTCCACGTGGGAGGTCTCATCGAAGGAGAAGGGAGGTGAATCGCAGCTTAGAGGTGATGGAGCAGTGGGGATGCTAGTGGTAGCCATTTTGGTATGGGTGACATCAAAGGCTTGAGTGGCGCCAACCTTGTGAAGGGCGAGATGTCGAAGGAGAGAGGCGACGCTTTAGTAGACGTGACGACACCCTGGGAGGCGCGGACGACACCCTGGGCAATGTGGGTGGTGCCTTAGGCATCAATAGGGGAGCCCAGCTCCAAGGAGGCGCCGAAGAAGAGAGGGGCAACATCAGCGCGCTTTCAGTGATGCACCAGGCTACAACAGTGGAGGCAACGACAGAGATGTAGCAGAAATTGGGCGGGTGACGTCATCGTGCTGTGTGACGCTAGCTAGGGTATGGGTGAGCTTAGGTGCAGTAAGAGGGATGATGTCCAATCTAGGCTTGGTGACCTCTAGAGGCACGTGAACACAAGGAGAGGTGACGCCCTAGGCGTGCTTGATGACGCCGAAATCGAGGATGGAGCAGGTGTTCTTTTGAACTTTGTGGCATATATTCTGAACTTCTCTTTACAGTTTTCATGACATACCCCTAGTATGTGATTTAGAAAATCGTTTAGTCAAAGCATAAAGGTGGCATACCCCGGTCAGGTCAATCCCCGAAATTCAGTCGAAGCACAACATGGATGTATCTGGATTCCAACACAGCTAGACTCCATAATAGTCCAACAAGCACTAGTATTCCCTTAACATTGACTTTGATTACATCTTGGTTTTGTTTGTTGCCAGGCACCCCACTCTGACAAGCACATTATGGGGGAAATTACTCGAGACCTCAAGCGAGGCAAAGAGAGTGTTAGAGATAATGGCTCGAATGTGACTTCCATATTCAGCTCCATTGGCTGCAATGAGAACATTGCTCATATCGTATCTTTGTACCGTATCTCTCCTGCTGTAATGTGTCACCGTGCGAAGAAGGACAAGTCAGCGTGTTGTGACTCCTTGGGGCGAGATTGTTATTTATGAGGATATCTTAGAGGCGGGCTTGAGGTTCCTGATACCTGGGCCTATATGTCGAGTCCTGGGACTTCTGTCACTAGCTCCTGGGAGGTTGCCCCCCAATAGTTGGAGAGTGATCTTAGCATTCTTCTAATTATGGCGGCTAATTCTTGGTAGTGATATCCCTCCCCTTTTCAAGGAGTTCTTGGCCATGTACGTGCTTCTAAAGAACCCCATCCCTATCAGGGGTGGTATCGTTTTGACCCAAGGTTGAGCAAGTTCATTACTAGGCTTCCTTCAAACTGTCATAGCTGGAAGTCTAAGTTCTTCTTTGTTGGAGGCAAGTGGGTTGTCGAGAAAGATCATGACCCGGTGCCTTCAAGGTGGGACACCGTCCCGAGGACCAAGTTAGGTAAGAACTCCACTTTTGATTTTACTTCTAGTTGTCACATATCTACTCTTAATGTACGATTGGCTTCTTTGTAGCTTCACCCACATTATCTACAGGGCAGGAGAATAGACTCCAAATAGTGCGCGACCATCCTTTCAGGGATTTTCCAGATATCATGTCCACATCAGGTTGTCCCAAGGTCTCGCATAAGCCGAAGAGGAAAGATATCTGATCTTTCCAATAGAATCTTTATGGTTACAACGTTATAAGCTTTTTGTCTCTCACCGATTCTGCAGGTACTTTTATTGATAGAGCGATGGTGAAGGCTCTCTATACTTCCAGGATGACGTTTTCCCCTCCTTCTTCTAAGAGGGCAAAGTTTGGTGCTCCCAGTATTTCTCAATCGAGGTCTACCGACCAGGTTTGTCCTCAAGAGGTGGGACCTATTAATGGACCCCGTTCTTCCCCGGTTACTAATCCTTCACCCCCTAGAGATAGTCCCAATGTGATTGTGGGGACAAGGCTCCAGTGTGGTCTCCTACAAGGACCGAGGCTTCGCCTAGCTATCCTACTTCTAGCAGTGGTTCAGTGTCAATGTTGCAGGATGTGAATCTGGCCAAGGAGCAGCTTTAAAGATTTGAGGCTGCCGCGGAGATCCAGGAGGTTGGATCTCAGGGCCAAATGGGCATTATTGATACAGCCATGGAGGGCTTTGCTTTGGTATGCCCTTTATTCTACTTTGATTTTGTACCTGACTTCTTTCCTTTATGTTCTACCTTTTGAATGTCTATAGGTGCCTGCTATTACCTGAATTTTTTCCTGTTTGTTTTCAAGTACATTGAAGCTTAGAGAGACACTTGATGGTCAGGCAGTAGAGGGGCAGGCACGAAGGACTACTAAAGAGCAGTTTGGGCTCGAGAGGTAGGCGCGAAAGGCTGCCGAGGAGTAGTAAAGGCTAGCACACGCGAGAGCTGCTAGACTTGAGACTGAGCTTCAGGCTTTCAGTGAGAGGGTAACCCAACTGGAGGCTGACAAAGAGACTACCTGTGCGAGAGCAGAGACAGAGGTGTGAACGTCTCATGAGAAGGTCGCTATAGTAGAGGTTGACCTTCGATCGGCTCTTGAGAGAGCCACTAGGGCAGAGGCTTACTTTATTGAGATGGAGAATAAGAGGGATATTGTTGAGAGGGCTGTGACACGAACCTTTATTGATGGTTATGAGGAGATTAGGGGTAAGGTCTCAGTAGTTTTTCTCACTTATGACTTTTCTAGTTTCGTCCCTTATGAGGTTATGGGGACTGATGATAAGGAGGCAATCGATGATGGGAGTGGATCAGGGAGAAGTGAGTGGCGTCAGGGGTATGGTATCTTTGTATTTGTGTTTTTATTGCTAGACCATGTTTTATCTTTTGTAAATGCTTTACAAACTTCCATGGAATGAGAAACAACATTTTTGAAAAAAACAAAATCTTGGGAAATTTTATTTCATGATCTGAAGTAGGTAACAATGAAAGTTGACTAAAGCAACAAGAAATAACTTAAGTGGTGATTACTGACTTGTGCACCCACTGTCCTGCCCAACTACTGGTAATATTTCTTTAGGTGCTCCACAGTCCATGGATAAGCTAGAACTTTCCCCTCAGAATCCTGAATTATGTAGGTGCCCGGTCTTACAACTTTTGTGATCATGTAGGGTCCTTCCTAGTTAAGTCCTAACTTCCCTTGCCGAGAGTCTTTGGTAGACAAGGTGATCTTCTTGAGGACTAGATCTCCAGGCAAGAAAGAGCGAGACTTCACCCTCGAGTTGTAGTACTTGGTCATGTGACGCTTGTACTCTGCATTCTTGAGCATGACTATCTCAATCTCCTCCTCTACCAAGTTGAGGTTGATGCGGAGGCCTTCTTTATTTCTGGTAGGGTCATGGTGATGGACCCTAAGGGTGTGTACTCCAATTTCAACGGGTATAACCGCCTCTATTCCAAAGGCTAGAGAGAAAGGGGTCTCACCCATGGGGCTTCTTGGTGTCATTCGGTATACCCACATCACTCCTAGGAGTTTGTCTACCCATCGTCCTTTCACACTCTCCAATCTGGCTTTCAAGTTTCAGAAAATGGTCTTGATGATAACCTCCGCTTGTCCATTCGCCTGTGGATAGGCCGAGCTAGAGTGGGGTTGCTTTGATTTGTAGGTCTACGCATAAGCTGTTAAGGAGTATGTTATCAAACTGTTTGGCATTATTATTTACAATTTCATGAGGTATTCTGAAATGACAAACTATGCTCCTCCAGATGAAGTCTTTCACCTTATGGTCTGTTATCTTCGCTAAGGCTTCGATTTTTGCCCACTTGATAAAGTAGTCGATGACTATCACTACAAACTTATATTGACCTGACTTATGGGTAGGGGACCTAAGATGTCGATCCCCATATGGAGAAGGGTCATGGCTTTGGATGGTGGTGAGCTCTTCAGGGTTGTCTAGGCACAATTATGAAGCGTTGACACTTATCGCATCTCCTGACGAACTCACGGGTGTCTTTGATCATGCTAGGCTAGTAGTAACCTTGCCTTACTGCTTTGTGGGCTAGTGCACACCCTCCCAAGTGGTTTCCACATATCCCCTCATGGATTTCCCTCATGGCATAATTGGCTTCCTCGGGAGTAAGGCAACAGAGTAATGGTAGTGAGTAACTTTTTTTGTAGAGTGTATCACGTAAGATGATATACCTAGACGCTCTCATCCTCAACTTTTTGGCTTCCACTAGGTTATCTGTGAGAGGCCCCTCTTCTAGGTAGACTCAAATGGGTGTCATCTAGTTAGCTTCAGAGGATGTACAATTAACATCGTCCTTCTCTATCTTGAAAGTGCTTGGTTCGAACAGGAGGTCTGTCAGTGTCAGGCCCATGAGTATATTGACAAATGCAAATTTGGCGAGGGAATCTGCCATGAGGTTGTCCTTTCAGGGCACATGGTAGATTTGGATGTAGGTAAACCTTTTTAATAAAGTCTGGGTTACTAACAGGTACTCTTGCATCCTTTGCTTCAAAGTATCCCTTTACCTGATTGACTATCATTTGGGACTCACTGTAGGCTGTCAGGCAGAAGGCCTCCATCTCCAACACAAGCTTCAAGCCTGATATGAGGGCCTGATATTCAGTTTGGTTATTTGATGTAGCAAAGTGGAGGGAGACGACGTACTTTAGCGGAGTGCCATAGGGGCTGATCAACACTAGTCCCACATCGCCGCCCTCATTGGTGGAGTACCCATCCATGTAGAGTCTCCAACCTGGTACAATAGACGGTAGCGAGGGTGCAGAGGGCTCAGGTGGAGTAGGCACAAGGGAGTCAGACGCCTCAAGTTTAGGAGTGTGGTCTCCCTGGGGCTTGTGAAGTTGTCTCCAAGACGTTAGGTCCTCTCGAGATAGTGTTTGAACTTGCCTCATGGTGGGTGGAGGCAACACGTATTGAGCAGGTGGGTGTAGGGGCGTTTGATACTTCCTCATGGGACTCTGTGGTGGGGTAGACTCCCGAGATTCTTGCGGCGACGTAGGATCCCGGGACTTTTGTGACGGTGTAGATTTGGCCACGAAGTTCGTAAGTGCTTGTGCTTTGATAGCCGCCCTCGCTTGATACTGCACATCGAACTCTCTTAAATTGATGGCCCACTTGAATAGTTGGCCAGACACATCAGGCTTTCCCAAAATTCTCTTAAATGGTTGATCTGTAACAACCACGATGGTATGACTCTAAAAGTAGTGGCGTAGACGCCTAGAGGCGGTGACAAGTGCAAGAACCAACTTTTCAAGCTCTGAGTTCCTTACCTCTACCCTTTGGTATGCCTTGCTTACATAGTACATAGCCTTCTGGATGCCTCCATCCTTTTGGACAAGGACAAAGCTCACGACAGAGGGTGAAAATGAGAGGTAGAGATACAGGGTTTCTCTCGGTACAACATAGAAGTG